TTGGAAGACACCTCCAAGATCACCTAGTCCAACCTCTGACCTAACACTAACCAGTCCTCCACTAAACCATACCACTGAGCTCTACATCTAAATGTCTTTTAAAGACCTCCAGGGATGGTGACTCAACCACTTCCCTGGGCAGCCCGTTCCAGTGCCTAACAACCCTTTCAGTAAAGAAGTTCTTCCTAATATCCAACCTAAACCTCCCCTGGCGCAGCTTTAGCCCATTCCCCCTCATCCTGTTGCCAGGCACATGGGAGAATAGACCAACCCCCATCTCGCTACAGCCTCCTTTAAGGTACCTGTAGAGTGCAATAAGGTTGCCCCTGAGCCTCCTTTTCTTCAGGCTGAACAACCCCAGCTCCCTCAGCTGCTCCTCATAAGACTTGTTCTCCAGACCCCTCACCAGCTTGGTTGCCCTTCTCTGGACTCATTCGAGCATCTCGATGTCCTTCTTGTAGTGAGGGGCCCAAAACTGAACACAGTACTCAAGGTGCGGCCTCACCAGAGCTGAGTACAGGGGGACAATCACTTCCCTAGCCCTGTTGGCCACCCTGCTTCTTATACAAGCCAGGATGCTGTTGGCCTTCTTGGCCACCTGAGCATGCTGCTGGCTCATATTCAGCTGACTATCAACCAGTACTCCCAGGTCCTTCTCTGCCAGGCAGCTTTCCAACCACTCATCTCCCAGCCTGCAGCTCTGCTTGGGGTTGTTGTGCCTCATGTGCAGGACCCAGCACTTGGCCTTGTTGAACTTCATCAGTACAGAGGGCTGGAGCTCCTGGTGGTTTGGTAGTAAGGGCAGGGCCCATCTCCCATCTCTACCTCCCAAATCTGCTTCCCAGCTTCAGCCTCTAGGAAGGTGGTATCACGTATTTCTCTTCTCTGGGTCAAGAGACTGTACGCATCTTTTCCTATCTGTATCCTGGGCCTCATCATGGTCATCTGCTTATGTGCCAACAGCTGTCTCCTTCTCCAGAAACCATAGTTAAAGAAATTAACTGTTGTAGTGGGATTTGAATGGGCTAACATCTGATCTCCATCACTGCACGTACTAACAAGATGCACCACCTGCGTTTGTAGCTTTTAAGGCCAGAGGGATCAGTTGTGCTCATTAACCCTGACTGCAGGCATAGCACAGGCTGTAGCTGGTCGGTCACTGATGTTCTGCATCTTGTTTTGCTGCCAACTCCTTTGCTGGCACAAACTTACGTGTAATTTCTATATTAAATTGTGACTGATGTGATTTTCAAAAGAGCCTAGCAAGAGTCAGGAATTTGAACATATATCACCAAAAAAAAAAAAAAACACAATTCAGTGCCATCTTCTCCTGCCATACAATCCAATACAAAAATCCCTCCTAGTTCCCAAAGGCGAAGCCTCTCTCTGTTCGTGCCTCCTTAAGCTTCTTAGAAAAGAGAAAGGCTTCTTAGCATCCCTAAAATTAAAGAGTTGAATTTTTTGTCTCAAAGCTGAATATTTATTACAATTTCAAGGAAGCTTTATGCAGATGTCGTATTAGAACCATCTTTTATTTTTTACTACTTTCTTGAGTTGTACCTCTTGGCCATGAAAGAGCCAGACCTGGAGTAATCTATCGTGACTGAAATATACTTTCAGACAGCTGTATGTGTTTTGAAGTGGAACATATCTTTCATTGGACCTGAGAATACTTTTATCCAGAAAAACAGTAAGTAACCAAGGAGGAAGCAGAGTTCTGGTCAATGACCTCTAAAAGTATTGCTCTTGCTCTGTAATAAAAATTATTTCATGATCCAAAACATTGCAGTAAAATGTTGTGCAAGGAAATTAATTTAGCAGGTCTTAAAACAAGATTTTCTTGAATATGTGTGGATACAAGTACTTGCTAAAAGCTGACAAAATGCTTAGGTGCAGATGAATGCACTTACTTCAGTAGGTAGGAGTGTCTACAACCACGCAGCTCTTCTTTGAGGACAAAGATCTACACCACATTGGAACCTGGGGAGACGCAAGAGAGAGGAAAGATGGCAGCAAGCTAAAGCCAACCCTGAAATACCATTCCATTGCGCAGCACTGTTAGCTTTTCAGCAGACTGCTGATTTCCCTTGTTGGCCCCTTCAGAGAGGGAGGCCTGCATGGCACTGCCTATCTGGTTCCCCCCTCATGTGCTGTGCCGAGACCTGCCATGTTGAGCCCCTGGGGCACTGCACGGAGCTGGCCTCATCTTTGGAGCACTCTTTGGAAGACAGAGCAGCGAGGGTACACCAGCCCCCCAGTGCCCTGGCTCTCTGTCCTTCTTGACCAGGCAGATGTATAACCTCTTCTGTTTTTCCCCCTCTATCCAAGGTTAATGGGGTGCATGTGTTTGTCTTGTGGCCATGTGCACAGTGGTTTTAATGGTATTAAAGCCCAAAAGTTTGGATTGTTGTTTGAAAAAGCCCTCCTGTAAAGAAATTAAAGTGATTTTTTTGGAAGGACTGAGCTCGTGAAAATATTTACTGCAGTCATTCAATTCCAAGGTCCAATGCTCCTAGACCAGGATGTCTGAAGATTGTACTGTGGGATGGAGCTGCTGATCTCCCACTACTAATGAAAGCTGAAGCTATAATTTTCACATCAAAAGTATTTTGGCTAATGTGCATATACATTTCTATATATGCCTAGTTTATATATACACCCATAGATGCATGCCATAAATGTATATATTTTTGTATATACCCACGCAGTGTTACCACCCGGTATCTTTTCCTGTCAGGGAAAGGAGTTTCCATTTGTCAGTCATGCTTGCTGCTCGCTGGAAGCAGGACTGAATCACAGGCAGGTATTCACGGGAGACTTGTGCTGCTTTCCTTGGTTGAAAAGCAGGAAATCCTGGAGTGCAGTGGAACTCCAATATTCAGTTTTTATTCCATATTAGGAAATACTTCCTTATCATTACCACAGGTGTGTTGTAACCATTTGTGAGATTAATTTTGGAGGCACGTTGTAAAAGCAAGGCCCTGTTGCTTCGTTCTCGCTTTTGGGCATGCTGGGCTGGAGGGACTGAAGACCGGGGCCCAGGGACCGATGGGCTTTTACAACCAATGCTGGCAAAACCCGCCTCACCAAGATGATTCAAGAGAGGCACTGGGAGCCCCAGTGCTCCGTCCAGGTTACTCCACCTCTCATGCTGGCATGGAGCACTGAGTAGCAATGGGAGAGAAGCAAAAAGATGGCTGGAAGCGAGGCTGGATGGAAAGTGGGACGGCTTCTTTCAGAAACTGAACTGGCTAATGCCAGCTTGGGGTGAATTTAAGACTGGAGCTTTTGCTGCAGTCATTTTGGAGGGATTTTCACCTGCTTCGAGCCCTTTCTTTGTACTTGGCTGCAGGTGGGGTTTGTGGTGTTAGGAGCCTGCAGCAGCCATGGGTCCCTCACATGTCCCCAGCCCCATCTGCTGGGGTTCTGCACATCTGCTGACATCTCCGTATGTTTTTTTCATGGCAGTCAGGCACTGGGAGCACCACTCTTCTCTCTCTGTCAGCTGGGACCAGGGCAATCGCGGGGTTCAGACGCAGCTACAAGGGGCAGCTTGTGTGGGTGCTCTGTGGGGAAAGCGAGAATGACTTAAAATGGCTAAAACATTTGAGCATCTCTTGCTTTGAAATAGCAGAGCCTGTTCTGATGGGGCTAATTTTACTCTGCTTCTTAGTGCTGCTTTAAATAGAGCAAATGTAATTCATGCTGTAACTTTAAAGAAGCAAAACTTAGTGAACATAACGTGCCTTGGGAACGAATAACAAACTAAAGGAAATGAAGTATATAGTAAGGTAAATGAAAGGCTTATGTGTTAGTGAGGCTTGTTGCAGTTTTGCATTTCGTTTTCACTTCTCAGATGGGGACTGCACTAAAAGCCAGGGGATGTCAAAAAGACCTGCTTTTGGCAATAACACCGAAGAAGAAAAATCTGCGTGTGAAGTATCTGATTTGTTGTATTTGGCAGGGAATGTTGCCTCCTTCAGGTAGTATATTTAATAAAATAGAGGCTTGTGAGTTGTAATACTACCGAAAACATAAATTATGTAGGAAGAAAATATTTTCCTTTCCAAAACATATCCCAGAGCAGTGCTCGGCAAATGCACTGGTCTAATAACAATGAACTTCAGTAACAGCAGTAGCGTAGCTAGTGTCACCCAGATGCCAGAAAAAAAAAAAGAATACTAATGTCAAAACTCATTGAATTGAAGTTCACATATGCTAATTAAAAAATCTTTGGGCAAGACTGTATTTTGACGGTGGCAGTCTTTGTTTAGTGATAACATAAGCATTAAGATCTGGCTCCAAGAGTTGAAAAATACTGGCCCAAGGCTGGCAGAGATGGCAGTAGCAGGGTTTTTCCTGTTTGCTTGCTGTCCCAAGGCTTCAGGACTCTGTAGTGTTTTGTGTGTTTCTGGAGGTTTCTCAAAAGTTTTGGAAGTGGATTCCAAAAGGGTTGTAGGAGAAGAAGGCAGAGAACTTCTCTGAGAGGTTTGGTGTAAACAATGGGACAGTGAAAACAGGCATGACACAATTGCCAAATTTGTGCTGGAAGAACCTGTAACACAGAAAGTCCTTTTCCTTCAGGGCTGTTAACACAGCATGACCACTTTCTCCTTCTGTCCAATCACTGGAGCTACCAGCTGTCCCACAACACTTTTATCCTTGCTACCTGTGTGCATATCAGCTCCCAGTATGCACAGTTGCCTGCTCCACAAGTTGCCCACAGAGCCTGGGTGGCTGCTGCTCCAGCTGCTGCTCCTCCCCTCTCCGGCTGCTGCGTCATACCACCTCGTCCTGCTGAGCCTTTGGCTGCTTGTTGCATTTATCTGTCCCTGCCCACTGCCTTTCGATGTGAATCATGCAGTTATTTGTGTATGGTGGGTTGTTTTTTTTGTATACATGTGTATAAATATCCTGTCTCTGTTTAACGGAATCTGAGCAATTCCGAGTTGGCAGGGCTGGTGCTCAGACATCCATCTGTGCTGTATCCATTCTGTCTTCCCAGATAGCACTTTATTTTTTAGATATAATTCCAGTCACCAGTGGGTTTAGTGCCCAGTTTTGCTAGCTGCTCTGCCGTGTTGCCTGTACAGAGCTGAGCAGTGTTACTCTGAGTGTTTCCTGGCTTCTCACCCAGAAGAACTCCAGTGCTACACATGGTGGTGATAACTGGCACTTCTGAAGGTAACCACTGTATTGAGCTGTGTGAATTTACTTTGGAACAAGTCTGACGCCAAAACTGTGTCTCTTTTAGTTTCTAGTTCTTGAAAATTCCATTTGCATGCTTCGTGTCAGGAGAAAGTTGAGTAACAAAATGTATTACGCAGAGAAAATGAGATCTTTGGAAGGCAGAAATGCGTTTCAATATCTTCCTTACAGAGGCTTTCACTAAAGAGCCAAACTCCCTGGGAGTGTGAATGGAAACTTTTATAAACTTTGCAGTTTTAACATTTTTACTGCAGTAGGGAACTGGCTTCCTAATTCCTGGGGTTAGGAGCGTGCTTGGGTATCTAAATGACAATCGTTATCAGCCTTACTGTGAAGTGGCATGGCTGTTTTGAGAGGAGGGGCTGGCATTCACTATGCCATTCAACATGTATGTAGCTGTATGTTTCAAATCAGTGTCAGAGACCCAGCGGCATGAAGAAGGCATCATAGTGCTGTCATGTGGAGAAATGCGTACTTTTGTCTCTGAAAGAATTGTGTTCTTTGCTCAGTAGCTTACGTACACATTTAGTAACAAGTCTGGAGTAAACTTACTGTTAGGCTGATGTATGGTTATGTTGTATGCATAGTTTCAAGAATAAGAATATTTCCTTTGTGGGACTTGGATCCAGATTGATTTGATAGTATAGATCGAGATTAATTTGATAGTAAAACCAAATTACATGATACAAGGTGCAGGAAACCTGCCTGGAAAGAGGTTGGCATCTTCAGAGCCAGTCTTATGGAAGCAAAGCCCAGTCGTGACACTGTCCCTGTGTGGCTTGCAGAAGTTTGCTTTTCTCCCAGCTGTCTGTAAGAGAGCAAGAGCTGATCATAGTGGTTGCTGTAGTATCTTGAGACGTGAACCCCCTAATAAGGCAAGCAGCATTCTTCATGGAACGATTGGCTTCAGTTCTCACTGCCTGTAGCAAGTGGTCGCGTATTCACCTTCTCATTGAAATGAAAAGGTCACTTAAAAAGGTAAATGTGAAATGTCAGAAGGATCTGAAATGATTGACTTCTCTGTCTTTTTTGAAGGGAGGTAGCTGTCTTTTACTGAGATAGTGATGGTGAACTGTGATGTACAGTTCAAATGTTTGGTGATAAAAAGTGTTAGGGTTATGCTGTCTACTCCACATCCCTGTCCTTTTGCTCCATGTTTGCAGGCTGGAAAGTAAGGCATAGGGTAATAAAGTAAATTTCTTGAAACCTTGTAGCACATCTGGGTAAGTAAAAATAGGCTCTAAGATTACCAAGTGTGGAGCTTCATGCTTCCCTGGAAGGTGATAGCTCTGCGCCCTCCCTCAGCTCCAAGTGTCCCAAGCGGGAGCTGTGAAAGTGAGAGACCGTGTGCATGAGGCTTGGATTTTGTGTCTTCATCCTCTCCTGATTAGAAAATAAACACAGCTGAGTGCCAAGCATTTTCTTTAGGGGAGAATGGATCTCCAGGGGCCTTGACTTCTTCCATCTTTCCCCTTCTGAGTTTTTACTAATACATGGGATTAGATACTTCTGATGTTTTGCTTTAATTAACCAGAGCGTTAATCTGAGAAGCTAATATGAAAACACTGCTGATGGACTGTGGGAGCTGCCAAGAAGCCTCCTGGAGAGGATGTGAGTTTTGACTTACCAGTTGTGCAGCAGAGGCTAGATTTCCAATGGTGGAGACACTGTCAGGAAAATCAATGCTGTAATAGAGTTGCCATGCTAGATAGGAGCAGAGGCTGAAGTTGTAGTAGCTACTGTTTGGCCTGTCTTTACTTTCCAGTTAGAAAATACATGTATCTCAGAGTAAAGCGAAAAAATATATATGCTTGGGCCAGGCAGCATTTTTCACCAGGAAGGAGATAGCAGGTGAGGAGAGAAACTTACTCAGAGGGGACTCTTAATCTCCAGTTAGTTAGCATGGTGCCTGCTGTCCCCTTTCTGCTGCTCTTCCTTGGGTGGTGCCCTCCATGCTGCTATCCCACCTACCTCTCATGGGGTGACAAGGGGATGTTTGCACACCTAGAGCTCCTCACTCCTCTCTCCTCTGTGTCCCTGCCATAGGGGCTAGCTGATGAGCAGACCAGGCACTGGGAGAAAGTCTCATGCTGGGAATTTAGCCACCTGTTCAGGCGGCACAAACCTGATTCCTGGGCCAAAGAGCACATATGATTCTTCTGCTCTTGGCAGCTTCAAGACCTTGTCCCGCAGGCCACACACAGCTCAGCGTCTCCTGTTGATTAGATTGTTTTGATGTCTCTCCCATTCAGAGCCTGTGGTGTATCATTTTTTCCAAAGCAATGGGCCCTTCAGAAAGGCCTTCGGTCTTTGCCAGCCAGAGGAGCTGCAGCCGAGTGTGCCTGGTCCGCTCATGTGAGCTTCCTGTGCTCCGGGGAGCCCAGTGCAGTGCCAGTGCTGCAGCAGGAGGAGAACAGTGCTGCTCTGCCAAGTTATGCAAGTTGGGGTGGGTTAATCAGCTTCTGAGGGCATTTCCAAGAGCTGTGGGTGGCACCTCTTCAAAACATTCCCATGAACGTGGTGAGGTCAGTAAAAACAGGGTTCAGGCAATGAAGCTTTGAAGCTTCTTCCTTCCACCCCCTCCAGCATCAGCTGTTTACGAAAGTCATACTTAAAGATTTTACTTGATGGCTCCCAACTGCATATTTTGTTTGAGATGCAGATTTGTGCTTTGCTTTGGGGTTGGATAGTGCAAGCAGAGAGGTAGGAGGAAAAAGGACAAAGAGGTTTTCTCTGTTGTGAATTGAGTAGGGTTTGCTGAGCACATTGGGTGTCCTGCCACCTCAAGCCCTTTTCCGCTTATGTTGGGGAACCTGGAGAGCTCACAGCACGTCTCAGATTCACAACGCTTTTACCCCACAGTGACAGAGCTGACTGGCAGCCGTCTAAGGCCAGGCACCAACCACAAGGAGAGCGAATGTCAGCTGCCTTCATCCCTCCTCACCCGGCAGAGCTTCAGGGCCACTGGGGCACGTGAGGCCACGTGGGGTACAGGCAGCCCATGCTCCTGTGGCCATCTCCCTCCTGTCCTAGTGGGCTTGTGCTGTGGTATGGTGGGGAGGTCTGCATGACCTGTGGATCAAGAGCTTTCTCTGAGCTCACTAGGTTACTGGTTGGGTTCTCTTCTGTGTTTTCTTACTGTAGCACCACAGTGAAGTTCAGCCCTGCTATAAATAGTGGGGTGTGCTGATGCCGGAGCAGTTATCTCATTTTCACAGGCTTAATAAAATCAAATGACTTAGATTCACTCTTCGGTAGCATCGGCATTTGCAAGTATAGGAGCATGGGGAAAACAAATCAATGGGAAACAAAGCTGCAGTGTGGTTTTATCCTACCAGGAATAGGAGGCGTACAAATGGTAAACAGCCCATTGCCTGCTGATGCTAGGGCGTGCTTTACCTTAAAGAAAGGTTAATCCACTCTGAGCCTGGGCTAATGCTACACTCCCCTGACACTGCAAAACCATCAGAAGGCAAGTTTTTACTTTGCTAGATAATTTCTCGAAAGAATTTAATCGTGGATGCTGGTGTGTGTTCAGCATTTGTTTAATTTGGGTGTGTCAACACACTGCCTGCCGGTTTTGCTCTCAGATACCTGTTTTATATTTACCTTTTCCCACCTATCAAGGAAGAAAGGTAGTGTAATGTAGGAGAGCAGACTCGGCAGGGAGAGTGCAGCAACTAACTTTTGGAAAAGTGTCCAGCATGAGGGATGTTTTTGTATGGAGAAAGTAGCCCCTGAATTTTCAGTGACAGTTACTAGGAGTTGACAGCTCTCATCTTTCTCTAGTAGAAAATTGAAGGGGACAGAATAATGATTTAAAAAAAAAAAAAAAAAAAAAAGATCTGCATCATCATAAAACAGCTGTAGTGCTATTAAAACCTCCTTGCACATGTGTGGGGAGATCCATTTGTATTCTCAGAGCTCCAGCATCTTGCACACTCCAAAATACATGACTAAAGTAATCGCCATATAATGTTATAAAAAGCCCTTATTTGTGATACAGCAGCTGCATTTCTGGCAACAAATATCTTATTGTCACCCCAAATTCAATTAAAAATTCACAAGATAAAGTGCTGTCCTTACAGAGAGTAGCCAGCACATCCAAAACAAAGAAAAACAAACAAACAAAAAAACACAAGACAGAATTAAACAATCTTCCTGTATGATGCAGAAATGCAAGTCTATTTCTGTATGAAACTTTTAATTATTTTACCTTAAAAGGTATTAAGGGCTGCCTGAAGATCATAAACCTAGTTTAAGGTTTGTCTTCCTCAAAATCCCCTGGTGAAATTAGAGGGGTTACATTAAAAAAGGAAAGGAAAGGAAAGGAAAGGAAAGGAAAGGAAAGGAAAGGAAAGGAAAGGAAAGGAAAGGAAAGGAAAGGAAAGGAAAGGAAAGGAAGAAAGAAAAGTGTATTTACTTCTGGTTAGCTTTTCAAAATAATAAATAAATAAATAAACACCTTGAGCAAACAAAGATGCTGTTACTTGTGGCTCCCCTCTGTGGTGGAGCAGCAGCTCTGCTGGTATGCCTCAGCCCATGTTCAGGTAGGGCATGAGTCCTCCTAGGACACGCTGTGTTTTGTTCCTCTTGTTGACTTTTTCTTTTAACCTCTGTCAGCTGCAAGGGGCTTGTGACTGCCCTGAGATGCCTTTGTCCTTCACTAAAAGGGTTCTTCTGGCACAGGGAATTCTGTAAAGAGTGGGTGCTCCAGAAAGCCCACATCTGGTTGTCAGTGTGGCACAGGGGTAGCGGTAAATGAATGAAACTGAAATGCTGGTAGCCTAATGCTCTTGTGATGGGGAAGAGTTTTCTATTCTTGCTGGTTGGCTGTTGCTTTAAAAAAAAAAAAAAAAAAAAGGAAAAATACAGAAGTTTTCCATTTAAGATATGGTGATGCCAGTATTTCATTTTGACATAATACTTTCTAAAATTCCCCAACTGTCCAAGTGCAATTTTGTTGAGCTGCTTTTGAATTCTAAGATATCAGGTAGGTATTCCTTATCCTTGAAGTCACCTCTGGATAGTGTTAGGATTTTTGTTCATTTTTGCTGTCCTTCTGGTAGTCCTTAGTATTTACGGAGTCTGAAGATGCCACAAAGCCATCCTGCACATCCAGCTGTGGGAGCTACCCCATCCTCTTGCTTCTTTCTTTTACTTTCCATGCTCTGCCATCTCTTCCCTCCTCCAGGCTGGGCTCAAGCCCACCAGAGGTAAATTTTCCCAACATTAGGTGTTTTTTTTTTGTTTGTTTTGTGTTGGAGAGTGGGTAGTAAGTCCTGGTAACTTGGGATAGTTTTATAATACAGTGGTGTTTTTGTTTTAAATGGAGTTTCTTATATATTAAGAACAGTGCTTTTCCTGTGATTTCTATAGTGTCTAAGATTTTGGAGATGGAGAGTAGGAAAGAAGTATACATATCCACTTTTTTTCCAAGTGAGTAATTATTTGATGTGCTCTGTTTCAGTGCATGTTACCATGGCGATGACTGCAGGGACTACAACATCCTTTCCCATGAGCAACCACACCCGGGAGAGAGTGACAGTGGCCAAGCTTACGCTGGAGAACTTCTACAGCAACCTAATTACCCAGCACGAAGAGAGAGAAACAAGGTACCAGCTCTGCTTTCTCTCACCTTTCTCCAGCTTTTCTTGGTTGGCTTTTGTCAGCATTTGTTCAGGAGGAGTTTCAGCCCCGTGCACAGAGTGGGTCTCAGCAGGTTTTCATTACTTGATAGCAAAGAGCTCATCACCTAAAGGCGCAGCTGCTGTCTGTGCTGGCAGACCTGTGAACATGCCCTCCTGCACCAAGCAGTCACTGAGTGACTGAGCGCCTCTGCTGTTGAAGTTCTCATGAAACTTATCACCTTCTCAAATTATTATTACTTTATGGAAACCACTCTGTGTGTGGTCTTACTTTGCTGCACATGTGAGGTTTTCACTTGTGTGCGTGGTTTTGGTGGCCTCTGGTTCCTTCACATGTGCCACAGGGAATAAACCTTACAGAGGCAAATGCTGCAGAGCTGCTGATGTTTGGTAACTTGTTTTTGTACAAGGCAGTGGCTTGTGGTGTTTATTCATGCTCTGCAGTGCTGAACTCATGCCAAGACTCATAAACTCTGCCGAAGAGAGTGTGAGAGACATGGGGAACAGGGTTGATGGTTTAGAGGTGTTTGACAGGATGATGCAGTGAGGAAAGGAGGCAGAGAGCTGTTAGAATGGAAGTAGATGGCAGGAAAGAGTGGAGGGCTGGTCACAAAGAGTGTAGGGCTGGTAACAAAGTGTTGGAAGGCTCTTGACTGGGAAGGAAGAGTTTTGGGGGTAACATTGTACCCACCCTCTAAGTTTCTTCTGTGTGATGCTGACTGGTACTCTGTGCGAGAAAGTATGCGTTGGTCATCTCTGCTTTAACTCCTCATCAGTGCACAGCTCCACTGTGCTGAAGTGCTGCTTGAATTAAGTGTCAAAGCGCCAAGCACTTGATTGTAATGAATGTTGTGTTTCAGATTGTCAGCAGTATGTGAAATTATCATTCTCCTGCTAATATGTTTTTAATTGAGGGATTTTCAGTCAAGCAGCAGGGTTTCCCTCTTCATCATATTTAGTCATTATCCCATGTAACTGAGTTGCTTCTATTTAGGCGAGTAGTCTGTCTACTGAGGGATTTTTTTTTAGGGGACCTGCTGCACTTCCTCAAGTGCAGGAAGGCAGGAGCAGCCTGGCACCCAGCACTTGAACTGTGCTGTTGCCAGCAGGTGACCAGCTTCCTGAAGCTGCACCCTGACAGTCGTACAGAAGCACCCTGGGGGTGCACAGAGAGAGTTCCAGTATCCACACTGGCCCCTTGCTGTGTGCAGCCTCCCTGCCATCTGTGGGATACTCCAGGCTTCGCACCCCGCATAGAGCCTCCCCGCCTGGCCGGCACCAGCAGCAGGAGTCCAGGAGGGGCAAGCCCTGGCCCAAGCAAGACATGAGAGGAGGTGGTGGCAAATTCAGGAGGGTGCAATGAGTTAGCATGAGGCTAAGGGAAGCAGGACCAGTTGTGTGATCAGGGAACAGACAGCAAGACTGGGAGCAATGGTGGAAACTGGGGCTGTTTTGAGGTGCTGGAGGTAAAGCTGAGATGGTTTTTCCACCATTTCAGTGTTTTTATCAATTAGGAGTATGAGTCAGAATAACCAGCCTTACTTGATGATTATATAAAGAAATAGAAGTCCATTAGGCTGATTATATGATTGGGCCTTTAGTGCCTATTTCTGGAATCATATAAGTACATGCTTAAATTTACTTACACGTTTTCAACAGGTTTGGTTACAAGTGAGGAAATGTATGGAGTGGGCAATAAGTTCTCAAATTTCTGTTTGAGTCAAATGCTTTGGTATCTGGACTATGTCAGGAAAAGGGGTCTTACTGTAGTGTTATGGTGGTTTTTTTGTTTGTTTTTTAATTAAAAAAATAAACCTCTTGTTTTACTCCTTTGCAGGCAGAAGAAACTAGAAGTGGCTATGGAAGAAGAAGGGCTTGCAGATGAGGAGGTAATACAACTTGAATAACCTTTGAAGAGATTGCTTTGTTTTTGTTAGCACTTCTTAAAGTTGGAATTTGATGAGTTTACAGGCACATTAGCTGTCAGGACAGTAAGTTTTAGTTTGTAAGTGAATGTTGCTTTTGTAAATAATGAAGCAAGCTGTGCATATGCTTGAATGTGATGCTTTGAGTAGCTGAGGGCTTTTCATACCCCTTTTTAGTCATTATGAAGCAAATGACCACAGCAAGTATGTAACATGCTTTTCAAAATTTAAAATTGTTTGGCATGTGATTTGGCTACAGGCAAGAGAAGGGTGAGATGCACTTGGGTAGAAAGCAAAATGCTGAACCACTTTTTTTTTTTCTTGATTTAAACAATAAAGCAGGTGTTCCCATGATCTATTACGATACAGATGTGAAGGGAACTCTTTCCAGATGGCATGTCTCAGAACTTTTCTGAGGTTTATCACATCATTGCTGTCTGTACTTCTTCCAGAATAGACACTGGAATAAATAGTAACAGCAGCCTCAGTCATTTCTATTTATTTCTCATTTTTTGGGTTGACATAACTTCTGGAAAGAGGGAAAAGTAATGTTGGTGTGTAATGCCATCTTGTGGTTTTAAATAACACAGTCGTTGTTCTCCAAAATCTAGCAGACCTGATTGATGGGTTTCATTATCAGCCTCTGAGATATTTTTGGCATCTTTGGGAGCATAAGCTGGCATTTTTATTTTTTCAGGATGAATTCCATTGATATTTTTATAGGACAAAATATATGGCAGGATTGGGACAGATCTTTCTTTCAAATACAAGTATTTTCCTGCCCTAAAACAAATAGATTTTGTTATAGGATAGGGTAAGATGGATTTCTGCTGCCTGTTAGACTCCTTGTTGCCCATCATTTGTGTTTTTGGCAGGGTACAAGTTTGAGCTTTTATTGATCCTTTATGCTGCTGAAAAACAGAGTCCTTGTCTTAGCTGGTGACTTTGGCCTTTGGTCTGATGCACCTTGTTTGAACCTATATGTTCTTTTCATTGTTTCTATTACTGCCTCTTTATACGTAAATAATAAGCAAACAAACAAACAAACAAAAAGCTGTGCTTGAGGCCTCTTCATAAAAGACTGTGGATCACACTTCAAGAAATTCAGGAAGATTTCTCCTTTTACATTTTCTTTGTACTCATAGAGGAAGGGAGAATGCTTTACAGGAAGAGAGATTATATATCTTGACTTTCTACTGTCAAATGACTTAAATTCTCATGTGTCTTCCTAGAAAAAACTGCGCAGGTCACAGCATGCTCGCAAAGAAACAGAGTTTCTGCGACTGAAGAGGACGAGACTTGGCTTGGATGACTTTGAATCTTTGAAAGTTATAGGAAGAGGAGCATTTGGGGAGGTTTGTGGCTTTCTTGCTTGAATGGGATATTAAAATTGGATTGAACATCAAAAAGAAACACTTTAATTAAAGAATAAAAAGTTTCAGTTGAGCAGTTTTATTTTAGGAGAATAGCTATTCGAGTAATTTTGCACATGTAATAAGACCAGTATGTACATGGATTTATCAAGGCCACTGGAAAAGGTCTGTTTCCTGCAGCTTCCCTTCCTATTAGCCCCAACTGATGTTGCCCATGCATCCACCCAGAAATGATAGATTTGCAGTTGCACAGCTCCTCTCCATAAGTCTTCTCTGCCCTGTGTCGTATCATGGTTGTGCTTACTCCTGAATTTTAGCATACTCAGTCTCTCAGCTATGTGGAATTTAGTGTGCCTGCTAGTTTTTTAAAACAATGACTGCTTCAAACATCTGTTCATCACTAGTGTTAGCTTTGTACATGTGCTTTTCAATGTTTAACAAAAGAACCTTTCCATGCCCACCAGTTTAGAGCCGTTCTTATGTTCCACACTGGGGTTTAGTTTGAGGTAGATGGGATTGATTGGGTTATTTTTCTCATTAAAGGTACGTCTCGTTCAGAAGAAGGATACAGGTCATATTTATGCAATGAAGATACTACGAAAAGCAGATATGCTGGAGAAAGAACAGGTTTGTCTTGTATAGGTCCCCTAGATTTCAAAGTTACTTTGCTTAGAAAATTACCAAATCTCTCTTTGGCAGGTATTATTTAGTCGTTATTTTCACTTCTGTAGTCCCAATAATTGTACTGCTGTCCAAGGCATCCATGGAGTTGCTAGGTCAGTACAACAGAGTAAGTAGAAGTTAGCATTCTTGAAAATGTTTTAGTTACAACCAGTTTGTAACAGTGATAAGGATGGTGTTTTTTTTCTTTTAGTCTCTTCCTTTATCAATGTGCATCTTATAGCACTTCTTTGTAAGAATACATTTAGAAGAAAATGCTTCTTGAAAAGCAATAATACGTCAAAGTAAAAACTGAGAATGTTTGATGTTGTCTTTTCATGGTCAGATACCACCAGCTGTCATCTTGTTTGTTGTTTGGGTTTGGCTTTGGTTTTGCTTGGTTTTGTTTTGTTTTGTTGGATCTTGAGATTGGAGTGGTTTTGTTTGTTTTGCTTTGTGTTTTTTGTTTGTTTGTGTGTGTGTGTGTGTGTGTGTGTGTGTGTTTTTTGCTTTTGCTTTGTAATCCAGAATTCACCACAAATTCCTGATAGGACAAAGCAATATGAAGAACTAGCAATAGTTATTTTTTAGCAATATGAAGAACAGAAATCAAGTGTGGATGTCTCAAGCAAAAGTGCAGCTAGAGAAAGTTGGGGTTACTTAGCCTGGAGAAGAGAAGGCTCTGGGGGAGACCTTTTAGCAGCCTTTCAGTACCTAAAAGGAGCCTAAATAAAAGGTGGGGAGAGATTCTTAGTCACAGAGTGTAGTGATAGAACAAGGAGTAACTGCTTTAAACTAAAAGAGGGTAGGTTTAGACTAGATATTACGAAGAAATTCTTCACCCAGAGGGTGGCGAGGCCCTGACACGGGTTGCGCAGAGAAGCTGTGGATGCCCCATCCCTGGAAGTGTTCAAGGCCAGGCTGGATGGGGTTTCAGGCAGCCTGATATAGTGGGAGCTGTCCCTGCCCATGGCAGGGGGGTTGGAACCAGATGGTCTTTAGGGTCCCTTCCAACCCAAGCTGTTCTATCTTCCTTACCTGTCCAAACCCATCATTATTTCTTATATTATCTTTCTCAGCAGTGGTACTGGTAGTACTACTACATTTTTTTTTTTTAAGTCATCCCAGGACAGACATTTTGTCTACTTATTGCTGTTTCCTTGAATGAAGGGAAGCAGAGGAGTATTATGTTCTGCCTCACAGCCAGGATGTGTGTGGTCTGCTGGCTGAAGCCCTGCCCTCATTTCATAACCTGATGTGGCAAGGAGGCTTAGATCACAGTCCACATTTAGTTTGTGTCTGTAACATTCCCCGGAGAGTATTTATTTGCTCTAACTTTCATTGCCTGGTTTGTTCAATGGGAAAGCATCACAGAAGACAAGTACGAGAGAGCTAGAACTTTCAAGCAGGGTGGCACTGTGAAGTTTTTCTGGCTGCTTTTTAAGCAAGGTTTCAATGTTATACTTTATAGCCACATTTAGAAGCAGAGGAGTGGAGGGTGGAAAGAAATCTTTTCTAATGTGAATATATGGAATAGATAGGGCTAGATAAATTAGAGTTGGAGCCTCTACAACAGAGAGGGAACGCATCGTCCTACAAAAAAGACACACATTAGAAAGATGTTAGAACTGAGGAACAGATGCAGAAGACTTGGCTTATTGGAAATATTGCTTGAATCTGGAATAATGGTACATATTTTCTTTACAGAAGTCACTTTCTGGTATCTGAAATGTGAAAGTCTTACAGCTATCAAGAAATGTTTTTCCATGCAGATATTTTTCATTTTCTTCCACAACTAGGGTACATTCTAGTAAAACACACACCCTTCCTCCTGTCTCTATTACTCTTAGTTTCCAGTGAATTCATGAGGTAGCAGCTCTCAGTATGCTTTTCAAAGACTCAACTGGGACTGCAATACATGTATCTTAAGCATGGTCAGACATTCCCAAGCTCACTTGCATAGGACCAACGTCAGCAGCAGTGGTGAATGTATCAGTTCTGGGCCACCTTTGTGCACATCATTTGATGGAAATGCTCCATCTTCCCTTCGCTTTTCTTTCCCCCTGCTAAAATAGCCCATGGCCATTTTTTGCCCTCCTTGAATACTGACCATTCAGCTGACTGTTACTTAAGGTCATCTCTGCAAACTGAGATTCATCCCAGCCCTTTTTCCCTTTGGTCGAGGTATTTGCTATGCAGTTCAAGTAAGCTTCACCATGTACACAGGTAGGAGCAGTCTCCGTGTGTCATTTGAAAGGGCTTCATGCACCATTAGTAGTACGTACAGTGTGGGTTTGGGAGCTAGATGGTTGTTTGCTGTATGTCAGACATTTCACAATGCTGAAGAAATAAGGTTTTGCAGGAAGTAATTTAGGCATTCTATCACTCTTGCAAAAGAGGATTCCACAGGCTTATCTTGCCGAGTTTAAACTGTGAAGTATTACTGTGAGGAAGCAGTTATTAACTCTTTATTTGTAAATGTATATGAAAAAAAAATGATAAATTCTGACATTAAACATTAAGCATCTACCATTTTACCTATTAGTTCTTGTGTTATTTACAACAAACTCTATTTTTTTCGAATAATTATGTCAATATCTGCATACTGAATTGCACATTAAATTTTTATTTGAGTTTGCAGTAGGGATGCTACCTTGCAGAGCTGACCATCATAACAGAGCTTTTTATTTTATTTTTTTTTAATGTTCTTAGTTAATTTTAGGATGCAGTAAAAATGGAATTGCAGTTTTCCACCAACTTCTTCAGTTCTGCCTGACAAACAGGAAGCTCAACAAGCCATGTGTTTTCTTTCTAGATACCACTTTTGTGAAGTTATGTAAATAGTTATTTTCAATATTGAGTTAATTTCTGTGGTTTTTTGCTGTGTGTTTTCTGAGGACTTTGTAGGGTCTAGTAAAAACTATGTAAAATAGGAGTGAAAGAAAGTATGAAGAATATCTTATTTGTATAAAGATCATGAAAATATATTTTAGGATTAGGAATATAGCATGGCATTTGGTATTGATGTAATTAAATAATTCTTTAATAACAGTATTAAAAAATTTTAGGTGGCCCATATCCGAGCAGAAAGAGATATTTTGGTTGAAGCAGATGGAGCCTGGGTAGTGAAAATGTTTTACAGTTTTCAGGATAAAAGAAATCTTTACCTGATCATGGAGTTCTTACCTGGAGGTAAGCTATATGTTGTGTTGTTACTAAGTTGTATAAGTACTTCTTCCTTAGCTTTGTTTTCAGCTTTCTAGAAGTGAAGAAACAAGCATGCTGTGTAATTCGTGATAGCATAAATTTTAATGATGTTTTAAGTGAAGTCCCGGTAACTTAACCTTTCCTGATTTGTAGGTGAAGGGGAAGGATTATTGGAAGATGTTAAAATAGACTTGGATTAAATAATAATTCTAGTCCCATGTTCTGCTTTTTACTGACAAAGCTAGAAACAGCTTTAAAAAAAGTCACTCTTGATCAATTTTAGTGCAATACATTTATTATGCGTTAAAAAATTGCTGCATTATTCAAGGCTATCCAATTAGAATTCCTATTTAGGATTGCAACAATTTTACACCAGTTTGCAGAAAAAGTATGTTGGGTTTGTAGGTCCTTGCAGTAATAGTTTTATAATTAGTAGCTATAATGCTAGTAACAAGTTTAAATTTGGAATCTAATGGAGTTTCACCATTAAAATGTTCTGATTTATAAGCTGTATTTTCTTTTTTTTTGATTAGGTGACATGATGACCTTGCTAATGAAGAAAGACACCTTATCAGAAGAAGAGACACAGTTCTATATTTCTGAAACCGTGTTGGCCATAGATGCTATTCATCAGCTGGGATTCATCCACAGGGATATTAAACCAGATAACCTCCTGCTGGATGCTAAGGCATGTGGTGTGCACGTAAACTATCTATGCTTTAAACATTACAATCTGCAGATAATGCCATTCACAGTGGTGCTTATCACTGGGAAACTGTAGCACCATACCAGTAGCTGGAATAAAGACAAAAAATGGTTGCTATCTTTTTATGGTAGAACTTCACTACACTTAAAGCAAAACTACCCTTGTGGTTGTTTTTTTTTTTGTTTGTTTGTTTGTTTGTTTTAGTTTGTTTGTTTTGTTTTGTTTCTTTTTTTCTTCTTTTTGTAGTTGGAAGGTCTTGTAAGTGTAGAAAGACCCACTCAGGGCATCCAGATGCTCGAATTCATACACATGAAAGACTGGTATAGTTTGTTAGTTCAAGAAGAAGGAAAGCATGAAACAAGCAGACAACACTAAATAATCAGTTCACTTCCTGCAGTTATCTCATTTGTTTTATTGTCCACTCATGAGTGGGAGCAGTCTGTCCATTTGACTGCTTTGTAGTAAGCTATGAAATAGACCCACTAAGTATCATACACAAGCCTGTAGAATGTCTAGCACTGATCTCTAGAAACCCAATTAAAACTAGGTTAACATCAAAACAGAATAATTTTGTGCTGGAGGCTTTTTCAGTCTCAGTGCAAAACAAAACCAAGTAAACTAGCTGTACTCAGCTGTTGCAGATGTAGCTATTCCCAGGAATTACACCCTTTTTAGAGAAAACACATTCTCTCCATACATCAAGAATCAGGCACTATTTGCCCGCTTTCCCTGGATTAGGTAGTCCTGTGCAAGTCCATCATTCACACATGGACTAAGAAGGCAAGTGCAGTTATGAAAACAATTTTTTTTGAACACTACCTTTCTAAATCGTTCTTATCTTATTTGGTGTTTTTTAGGGTCATGTAAAACTGTCTGATTTTGGGCTATGCACAGGTTTAAAGAAAGCTCACAGAACTGAGTTCTACAGGAACCTTACACACAATCCACCAAGTGACTTCTGTAAGTATAAGGTGTCCTAGGTAAACATTTAAATAGTTTTGAGCTCCAGCTATACCACATCATACTTCATTTCTGCTGGGTTAAACACAATTGGTCAGGCTGAGTGCATTTATTTGGATAACTGGAAATGCATGTGTTCCCCATGACATGGGAGCATTTCACAGGAAAGAAATTGTTTTGTGTAGTGCTAATGTGTTTTTGTACACTTTTATACAGACACAAGTACATATAGTGTGATTATATTTTAATACATTTTTCATAACAATGTTACTGAAGTTACAGAAATGAATGAATGCTCTTCCAGATCAAATATGGGTTTCATGTGCTGACTTACCGAGGTCAGTGACAATCACAACAAACCTTAAGAGAGTAGAGCTGTTCATCTCTATGCCTTGGCAAGACTTAGACATTAGGATTTTATTGCATAAACATAAAATTATTCCGCAGTTCTTTTCAGATTCTTCCCTTGTTGTTTAAAAAACATTGTCATCTTCTGTATCATACCTGAATACACACACATACACTACCAGCCGCAACAACGTTTGCTGATTGCAGATCAATCTGAAAAAAAAAAATAAAATGCTAATTTAGAATTGCCAGTCACATATCCTACTGATGTGATTTGCAGCCACAAATTGGACAGTAGTTATTCATTGTCCTTTTTCTGTCTCCAGTGAAAATCAAGTATTTATTTCTAGGCAAAAAGCATTCTTAAGATATAAAATAGTTTTCCTCTGAAGACAAAATGTTATCAGTCTTTTACTTCACAAATGCATTCGTTATCTAATAACTATTCTCTAAACTAGCATTTCAGAATATGAACTCAAAGAGAAAAGCAGAAACATGGAAGAAGAACAGGCGACAGCTGGTAAGTCAATAACATCATATATATATATGTTTTTAACTATTTACAGAAAGCACTAAATAAAAACGTGGCATTAATGCTACCGGTTTTGTTGTTTTGTTTTTTAAATCTGTAAGGGCCTCGTCTGTTACAGTTGTAGCTCTTTTCGAAGTCCACGAATTCTAATCAAATCAAATAATTTCATTTGTTTGTTTTCAGAGCTGTGACTAGCAAGGCACTGCTCTTCTTTATGTTTTGTTTCTCTCACAAGCATCTCGACTAACTAATCTCAGGTGTCAGCAGCCACTTAGCAAAGCTGTATCTTGAATACGTCTCCTAGACTGAGGCTGTGTGTTTGAACTTGAGTTTAATTCCTGCAGTTCAGTATTGCAAGATGAGTAGCTACATGATTCTTTTTCAGAGAATTGCAGAGGAAAAACTTGTTTGGTCTCCCACTGAATGGGAATAGTATGGAAAAGCACTGAAGTGGTGCAGCAGGGGTTTATAGTGCAGAGTGGCCAAGTAATAAAGGGCATTCTGGCATTAACTAAACAAACTGAAGCATCTGTCAGCCATAGCATTTCAGAGTTTCAGCTCTGCTTGTTTCACTGAGCAGTAGTTTGTAAAAAACATCAATTGCAAATTGTGGAACTTTTTATTTTTCCTCCACATTTAGGAGGATGATTTCCATTTACTTTCAAGGTTCAAAGTTCTCACTACATCGTGTTTTCTCATGTAAAAGAACAATCTTCTTGGGATTTTAGATATTGTGAATTGTCAAATTCAGCATTCTTGTCCATCCAAAAACCAAGATACTACATATGAATCCCCTGGAAAAAAAAAAAAAAAGTTTTGCAAAGTGGAAAAAAGGTAGCATTAATTTTTAAAAGAACTTATTCATTTTTTCCAGGCTTATTCTACTGTTGGGACCCCAGATTATATTGCACCAGAAGTATTTATGCAGACCGGGTACAATAAACTCTGTGACTGGTGGTCTTTGGGAGTCATCATGTATGAAATGCTAATAGGTACGTTAAAGACTGCAGGCCTAAGAATCAGAGGATTCAAAGATGACAGGGTCTGTTAGTTCACCTAATATGACCTGCATAGTGCAGGTAGTAGGATTTTATTCACTACTTCCTGAAGTGAGCCCCAAGCGTAGCTTGCAGAAAACTTTAAAGTACTCCCATCTTTCTAAGAAGACAGCAACAGGTAATGCCTCAGTTAGTCGTTCCAGTGAATAACTAACTGTTCACTATTAAATGCTTTTGAGGTTTTGTCTTCTTACCTGGTAGTACCAAAATCAACTTTAAATATAGTAGTATAAAAGAGAGCTTTTGGCTCCAACAATATTTTAGATCTGGGAGCCACAGTGGCAAAAGCAGAGCCAAGGGAGGGCCAGCAGCTAGCATTTATTGCTACTTCAGGCAGTGCCTCCCCTCTTGACAGTCTTCTACTCTGGGAAAAGCTTGTTCTTTTTTTTTTTTAATCTTTGTGCAGGGTATCCACCTTTCTGTTCAGAAACACCGCAAGAAACTTACAGGAAAGTTATGAATTGGAAAGAAACTTTGGTATTTCCTCCAGAGGTGCCCATATCAGAGAAAGCAAAGGATTTAATTCTAAGGTCAGTAATAAAAGCCCACTCCTGGCTACTCATCCAGACATAGTTATCTTCCATTAGGTTAACTTTCTGTTCTGCATGAAGGAAGCTCTAGACTGGGGGAAAAATTGGTTTCTTCTGCGTCACCTTCCTTGATGGATTTTTCAGTCTTTTTCCTTTTGTCATTTGTTTAGCATGAAGGAATAAGCTGTAGTGATCTTGATTTGTACTGCTGCATTAGGTGAAAGAGCACGCTGGGGGAAAAAAAAAGTGATTGAAACTTTTTTTTTTCCCCTCAAAGGGGCTCAGAAAACAACTACTCACCAACATTTTTAACAGTAAAGAAAATCTTTGGATGTTTCGGATTTACTCATGTTTTCCAAGACGCTAGTTTTTAATCCTTTCATCTTGTATTGAAATTTTATTGACAGGTTTTGATGTCAAGGTCAGGCAGAAATGCTCTGTTTTCCTGATAGATTTGGAGGGGCAAATGCTTTATGGCCCTCATGTGTTTTGTTTTGTTTTGTTTTGTGCTTTTTTTTAAATATTGTATTACAAGCTTACACGATTTTGTTACAGGCAAAAAGGGGACTGTACTCGTATAGGCAGGGCTAAGAGCGTAAAATTTATAGCAGACAAAGCTAAAGTTTTATTTTTGTGGATACAGATAAAACCGAACTAAAATAAGGTCAAGTTCAGACAAAGCCAGACAAAGCCTGAGACCTGGTCTGGCTAACTGTTATTTTAAAGTTTGAGGTCTATTATTAGTACTTGGCATCCACCACCTCGCTGGACTATAGCAGAAGTATGAGCAGTTATTTCCCAGGTGTCGTTACCACAAATAAAAGAACATTACAGTCTATAATTGGAGACAGTTTTATAGCCTAACTTGCTATAAACTTGCAAGGATTTTACTAAAAATTTTACTAAAATCCTTGCAGAAGATTACACTAAGCAGTGAGAAGATGACCTTTTTTGTATTGAGGTGTACATGATATGAGAAGTGCCTTGTGAATCTGGATGATGAGATTGTATGGAGAGAGATATAATAGCAGGATGACTAAATCACCTATTAGAGGCTCTGCACATTTAAGCAAAAAATACTTAATGTAATGAAGGTCAGCTGACTTACGGAGCGCCAAGAGGCCCACATCCACTTCCAGTAGGTTGATGGGGACTCCACACTTTGCAAAATCAAGCTTTGTTTGACATGGATATATTTTCCTTTGTTATTGTAAACCTCCCTCTGTGTCACTTCTGACACCTTTTGCCACCCTCAAAGAGACTCTGCAAAGGCGGTGTAAAAATATAAAGCAATTACATCTTTGCAAAATGTAGCTAGGGCTTAATGAACTCCAATGAACTTTCATTGGCATGCTTACTATCTCCTTGATGAAATGCTTAAGAGTCTTTTCCAGTCAGGTAGGCATCAGTCCAGAGGAAAAGAGAGTCAGCCTTTGCTGCTCCCTGGTACAAATCCCTGATGTCACCAAGGTGCTGTTTGAGAACCTCCTCCTTCCTCTTTTTTTTCTTCAGGGTTTTAACCTTTTCCTTGTTGGTGTTTATCCTTCTGCCTACTTGAGCTGGTAACTGTCCCCATCTCAAGAGTCTTATCTCTGTCTTCATTTTCACCTTTCTTATCATGTCTCTACAGACTCTCACAGCTTCTTCTCTCAGATTGAGAGTTTATTCAGGAGTCTGCGCCAAGACTGTGCAACTGGACCATACCAGAGAGAGGCCTTGGGTCTTCATGCCACCAGCCCCTAGACCTCTGGGGGGAGGGAATTGAGAGTGACAGGGAGAGTAGGGTATGTTTTGGACATGGCATGTTCTGAATTTGTGTTGGCTCACCTTATTTCCAAAATGTCACATGTGAGAGTAGTCTTCTATCACATGGTGTCTATGTTCCTATTAGTTTGACTTTAAAACATGAATTTTAAATAGTTGAGAATGTGCAAAGGAGTTTTCAGTAGTAGGGACATAAGAGTTTCTATTCCAAACTAATCTCGCAAGACATGCAGTAACTTTTCACTAAACTTGAAGATGGGAATATCATTAGAAAAGGTGCAAGTTACTGTCATCATGACCTCCATTTTTGGGAATGTTAACGATATTCTACTTTTGCTATTTTCCCTCATCTCCTAGATACAATGGGCTACTTTTACATTACTTGGAAAATACAGCAATTTAAAAGAACATGCTCAAATTCCCGATACAGGATACCATGGCAGTTTTTCGCTGTTGCTTCTGTCTGCATTTATTGTAACATTCTCTTTATTTTTCCGCCTTTTCAGGTTTTGTACTGACTCAGAAAACAGAATTGGTAGTAATGGAGTAGAGGAAATAAAAAGTCATCCATTTTTTGAAGGCGTGGACTGGGGACATATCAGGTACAGATGTGTATATGTATATATATATATACACATATTTTATAGAGAACATAGCAGCCATGAAAGCAAGAATTTCATGCACTGTGATGGCAAGAATAATTCTCTTCAATGTACCTCTTATTTTGAAATGCACTACTGGCAATAGCGAGTGACAGCCAAGGTTTTCAGGCTGTGCTGTAATTCATAGATCTGATCAGAGTTTACTGTCTTGAGATTTCTCAGGTTGGCCCAGATTGCCCAGGATGGAAAAAAAAAAAGTGGCAGAGTGGTCAAGTTATTCCTGATTTATGCTCTTGATATTGTCAGAGAGCTCCTCTTCCATCAGTAATGGGAAATGCAGCTGTTGCTATAATTCACTATTTTTTTGTAATAGGAGCAAGAGAAAAGCAAACTCTGCCCCAAAAATGCAGGGGAAACAGATGAATGAAGACAAAAGGCAGCAAGTAGGAGGAAAATGTAGGGTATGTCTTTGCACCTGAGTGAACCGGTATGTCTAGAGGGCGCTGGGCAGAGGCACTGACTCACCTCAGAGTGGCAGCCTCATTGGCCTAAATTCTGCTGGCCAAGCCTGGGTAGAGGCCCTGCTGAGGCAGCCATACCAGGTCTAGCCTGAGTGTACAGATGCTGAGCTACATCTGCATGTACGTGCAGTGGTAGCACCTTCAAACCAGACTTTGGGACCACAGATGCTTTCAGCTGCAGAAATAGCTACTCTTCAGCCCTTCTTAAGGCTTGAGGTAGTCTGCTCTTTCAGAAATACTGCACTTTTGCATGTGAAAATCCGCACAGTGGGCGTGTGATTGTCCAGCTCATGTACTTCTCATTTCTTCTGTTGTGGAAAGCTTCATGTAACTTATCTTTTCAATGTGGGAAACATTAATGAGCACCAACAGCAGTGACTTACCTGTTCATGCCACATTTGGCAATGTGGCAAAAGGGTTTCCCCATTCCACCCAGAAGTGGATTTAGTTGTAGTTGTAATAATCATAGCTGTAATCATTTTACAGCTGTAAATTAATAAGTCCCCCACAGTGCCATGTTCCAGTTTGAATGCTTTTGGTGGGACAGATCACTGAAGTAACTTCAAAAGCTACCTTAAAACTTTTTAAAGGACTGTCTGATTGTTAAGCTAATAAATCAGGAACGTGTGACTCAACTCATTTTGGATGAGAGATACTGACAACTGAGCGTCAGAAATGGGAGCTACAGTCAGCAGGTGTTTGGATGAGTTCCAGGCTGATGGGTACTGGAATTGTAAAGCAACACGTCTAATGGCTTCAAATGCAAGTAAAATCCTGCTTGGCTGGGTAGGCAGGATTTAAGAAATGAAGGTAACCACTGTGGTTCTTGGTGACATCAAAGATCGTAATAGCTATATGGCAGATGAGTTTGGAATGCTGTTTCAGCTAATGGAAAATCATGTTTTCCCCAAGCTTGCCAAGGTACTAGTGCTAGATAGGAAATTATTGAACCTTGCCATGATGTCAGGAAGTAGGCAGGCCAGATGCATCTCTTATGGAAACTTTGTACTTTAAATTACAGGGATGTTGTAACTGTAAAAAACTAAGTTAAAAGAAATGGAACTTAATGTATCTTTTTTTTCTTTCTTACTATTCTTTTTTTTTTTATGTCTATCTACAGGGAAAGACCAGCTGCAATCCCTATAGAAATCAAAAGTATTGATGATACATCCAACTTCGATGAGTTTCCTGAATCTGATATTTTACAGCCTGGTGAGACTGCCACTGTAAATTCCAAATTTCAATCTATAATGTGCCATGTGCCAAAATGCTCCATGGGTTTGTTCATTCTTGTTTATTAACTTTTCTGATGACCTAGTCAAGGTAATATACAGGCTTGATCTAGAGATTCTCTTTCAAAAATAAATGTAAACATATGACTTCTCATAGCTTCTGCTTCCTTAAAACTTTAGGGAGAAAAAAGATTGTAATAGTTAAGTATATTAATTAAAATGGTTTGCATATGTAGTGAGCACCAAAAGCAGTAGTTTTCTACCATATAGTCTGTCTAAACAAATTCTGATAAAAACAGTCTGCACTGATTTGCTTTTGATCTTTAATTTTTATTTTTTAGTTTTATGCTAAACAGTGCCTCTCCAGTGTCTGTTAGCTATTCCTGTATTTAGGTAACACCAAGTGCATTTGTATTGGTTTTGGCATCTCAGACCCACTGTATTACTGAAAATGTACATCTAGATACCCAAATACAAACTTGGACATTAGCATTTTTGGCGCCTAGAGTTGAAAATACTGTTGTAGAACTCTAAAAGCAGCAACCTGAGTGCTGAATATAGGAGCCCACTGCAGTGAATGTCAGTGTTCAGCACACTAGCCGTGCGGGCTGCTCACAAAATAAAACATGACTAGATCTCCCGCTGGCTATACGAGCCTCGCAGAAGCTATAACCAGGCAGAAGGCCTAGAAAAGGAACATGTGCTTCATGTGTGGGAGAACTTGGATAAAACTTTTTCTTCTGTTTGTGGTGAGGATAACACTATTGTGTACTCCTTCATTTGTTGTGCATGTGGCATTCTCAATGTTCTGTTTCTTTTAATTATATATGCCATAGTTATTTAAGAGGTTCCTCTCAATGTATGGGAGCCAGTTCTAGTATATACATATACAGAAGATAATAACCATTAACAAGCAAAACCAAATTTTTTTCACTTCAGAGATGCATGCTGAAATTAAGTGACTATTAAGTCATTTATTAGTTACTTTTTAAACTACATTAAACTAGTATAGGTAATGCTTATATTAATTACAAAAGGCTGACCTGATTAGAAACAGGATTTTTTCAAGGAATTTATGATGAGGAGGGAAATACAAGTTCAGGACTGTTGATGTGTGAAAAGTCCTTTCAGAAGCAACACTGTTTTTGTGTTGTTGTTTTTCTTTTTGTTTGTTTGTTTGTTTTATTTTTACTTTTGTATCTGAATTCTAGTGCCAAACACAACGGAGCCTGACTACAAATCCAAAGACTGGGTTTTCCTCAACTATACCTACAAGAGGTTTGAAGGGCTCACGCAGCGTGGTTCAATCCCTACCTACATGAAAGCTGGGAAATTGTGAAACAAAACCCAGACCCACAGAAGAAATAAAAACAGAAACCTCAGGTAGCTGCATCACCAGACCCGCTCGGCATTAGTTATCAATACATTGACTCTGGTGCGCATCAATTTCACAAGGAAATTCTACAGGATTAGGATTTCTAAGACTACTACAGGAATTAGTTGGCAGTGCCAGCTGGCTTTTTTTTTTTTTTAATATTTGAATATTTTTGTTAACTTTATTATACAAAGGTACTGGAATAAAAGGAACATACATCCCTTTGTAACTGCACTGCCTATGTGTGTATAATGGTTAATTATGCCTCTCTGTCCTGTGGCTTTGTTTGTACAGTAAACTGTCTAATCCACCCAGGAGTAAAACACATCATTTTACGCAGCATTGTTATCATACTGCTTACCTGGTGGGTTCTAAATATGCAGTATTAAAAAAAATAATAAATCATTGCCCACATTTTCAAAATTCTCTGAGCAGTTGCTCAAGGGTGTTTCAGTTGTGGTGTGCAGATATACCCCATGAGTGTGGCAATATTGGATTATTCTAAATAGCAGTGTCCTGTGGGGCCTACTTGTACCCTGCCTAGCCTCATTGCTCCCCGCTGGAGGGTTTTATGAGCAGATTGTCCCTTTTTGTGGGGGATGTGGGGCAGGAAGATGGTCCCTGTGATCTGTATAGTGGCATTTCTGCTTTAATTGATAATTAATGGGTCCTATCATTGAAGATGATGATACTGTTCATGATGATGAACCTGTTGACAACTTCAGAAGAAAAAAAGGAATCTGAGTAACAATGACAAACACTCTTAACAGATTTGTTTTTTCCATTACTAAGTTCTGAAAATATGGCAGTTTTCAAGATAGCATTTCTGTCTCTGTTGGAAGGCAGATAATCTTGCTATTGAGAATTTAAAATATCCTTTTCTGTCTGAGAAAAACTTACCCTAGGGAAGTGATCAAATGGCAGCTTTTTCTTTTCCATCTCCCTAAGAAGTTCCAAGAAGGGATGCTGTTGCACCCTTTTCTTTCCAGAATACCGGTAGCAACCTCTGCCGAACCAGAGGAAATGGAGTGCCCAACTAGACTTACTCTTCTGTGGGCTCCAGCTTTTTCTAGCGTCTCTTCCTAATGTGGACCATGGGATTATAAAGGATCAGCTGAGTCTGAAGCCCAGTTACCAGGAACCACGAACAACCACAACTGGATCAGGCAGAGCACCTACACCTGTTCTCCCCACTCTGCAAGATGGGGACAAACTGACAGTAGAGAGGGGTCTCCTTCCCCTGGCTCAAGGAAACTGAAGCAGAAAACTGTGTACTGGCTATGATTTTGTTCCTCAGCTACATCCCTGCCTATACTAGCATATTATCTGCAGTACTTTGAATCTATCACAATACAGTGGAGAACTTTGGTGTCATTTTCTGATTACAAAAGAGACTTATAGCAATCAACAATTCACCAGTAATTGAACAAGCAGAGTCACTGTCGCTGTCTTCCTCCTTTAAACACAAGTGAAAGGCACTCTAAAGCCCCCACAACACCCATCAGAGTGAAGCACAGGATGTTTTGGCATGTGGTAGGGAAGACTCCATTAGACTGACTTTTACAGCAAAATGGAAGTGACTATTTATAAAGCTTTTACAGAAATATTTATTGCTGTTAGGCACCATGGTATCAGCTGTTCTGAATTATTTGTATGCTTCAAAAACATACTTTAAAGTGTTCATCTGTTGCATAAAAGTCCATTTATCAGAAAAATTTCTGTGCATCAGCAGCGTACTGGCAATGTGTGTAGTCTGCCTTGATTCAACATTTGCTAATTTTTTCAAGGCCTTCAGTGATGCCTTTCCTCCAATACTTTATCTTCCTTCAAGCATCTAACATCTGCTGCTTATGCTGCTTTTCTACAAAAAAAAAATAGCGTTCAGTTCATCAAAGAAGAGTATCCAGTGCCTCAGGGCCCACCCAATTTATACAGTCAGATTATGGCTGAGCTAAACTTTGCCTAAATGTTCAATTTAAGTGGGAACAACTATGTGATCTCCTAGTTTTTCTTCACAAATCTTACACTAATTAAGACCTCTTTACCGCTACTGGGACAAGATCCTTCAGTAATTCTCTGGTGTTGTCTTTAGCCATGTCAATCCAACGTAGTGAAGGTCAACTGTATCCATACAGAGACTGTCCAAAGCCAGTAACTTAAATCCACCTTTTTATACTTTTTCATTTCTTTCTGACGCTGGCATAGCAGCTGCTGAGGCTTCTGAGAAAAGGAAATTCCTTTCCTGACATTCAGTCCCTTCTACCAAGATGGAGGATATTGGGCAGAATATATACCAGATGCAGATTTTGCCCCAAAAGGGTACTGCTATTCAAAATAGATTTTTTCTTAGTTTTAATTTCCAATCTCATTCATGGGGTCACTATATGCACCAGAAGTGGAATTCCTGTGAACAACACATTTCAAAATACCACAGTTACCCTTTTGTGTAATGTAAAAAGAAGTCTTTGCTTGAATTTGCTAAGACAAGATCAATTTCATGGAAACTGCAAATGCTCAGTAATACTGGTGATTTATTTTTTTTTCCTGCAGGGTTTGCAGGAGGGGAGATAAATACATTCTTAATTTAAAGCTATCTATTAAACTATGTCTGTACATACTCACTGGTTTACAAACTTGGGAAACAGCTGAACCCTTATATTCATAACACTAAAGATAATATACATTTAAAATTGCAGATAATTAAACATATCAGTGCTCACATATGAGTTGTATCCTTCAGGAAACAGCCTGCAGCCTATTTAGCATAAACTCCTGTATTGTGGTAGTTGAATTTATTTCTTTGAAAACAGAATTATTTTAATCAATAAGTCCAACAAAATATTAACTACTGCTTTTAGGATTATAGATGGTTTGTTTTTTTCAAAGTTTAAACTGTGACACTATAATAGATTAAAAAGAACAGAAGGTTAATCTACACTGGCTTTCAAAAAATGGAAGTGCAACATATCTTTTTGCTTTATTTTTGTCTTATTCCTTTGGATGGTCATTTGTCTTTTTGTTTATTTTTTTTTCTCCTTTGGTGTTGTTTGTCACTGTGCCATTTATTTTTCTTATTCTTGGAGTACCAAAGATCCTGAAATGGCTTGATGATTGCAACCATGTGAAAATTTATTTTGTGGAAGTATGATTTGTTAACTTTTGTTAAAATGTGAAATTTTGTATGCAAATTCTTAGAGGTTTACTGGGAAGTTAACCTATTCCAGCAGGGAAAACCTGAGTGCATCAATGGAAGTAGTGAGCCTGAATCTAAATTCTGGATCTGAATATGCTGAAACTGGGGAGGAAATTTGCATTGGAGAACACATCTGAGCTTTTGCACTTTGTTCCATCTCTAATCAGCATGAATGCGTGGCCTTAAGTATAGGACATACACAGAGGTTCATTCATGTGCAAAAGGAGTTAAAATAAAAATTAAAAAAAAAAAAAAAAAGCCAGCATTCACAAATCAAATATTGTTGATACTGCATTTGCACTGTTAAATTTGCCTTGCTGGAGCGTTACGTATTATTTTTATAGGTCAATTGTTAAACAGCTGAGCGGTTGGATACAGTATGGAATAATAGCATCTGATATGGGTGAATTCACCAAAGTGCAAAGGGGCTTGCTGAAAGCTCTCCACACTACTAAGAGAAATGGGCATAAGCAGTACAAAGGGTGTTGTGTTGGCTCCTTGTAACAAGGTGACTTTCCTCCTCTGCAACAGCAAATAGGGAATACTGCAGTTTAGCCCAGTTATACTCTAATGCTTAGGAAATGCTCTCACTTTTTCAATAATATGAGCAATTACAAGCATTGTGACATACTGTACCTTGTCCTTTTAATGTTGATATATTACAGCAGCTTGTACTTGGAGTCAAAATGGCAACTGCTATATTTTTCCTAGACTGTTTCATTAGTTGTGGTTGGGAAGGTTACATAGAAGCATTATAAAATTTATATGAGGCTTTTTACAGCATTTGAAAATAAAAGTAGCATTCTTTTTGTAAAGTTGCAGTTTTCTATTTCTTTATTTTTACAGTAATGTGCTGGGTTTGTTTCTTTTCCAGAATGGGAGACATCCTAGGGAATTGAAACACTGTTTTGTGTGTGTGTGTAGTTGGGGGTTCATTGTCAGTAGAATTGAAGATGAGAATGCACATCACTATTCTCAATCAGATGTACAGAGAGCAAGAATTACCTGACTGGTACAAACTGCAGTCACATGAAGCTGCTTCTAAAAAGGCTCTTCACAGAAGGCTTCCGTCTCCTTCCCTGGAAATGATAATTTAGTCAAGAAAGGCTTCCATGGACAGTTGTTCTTCAATTCATCACAGGAACATTTTTGTCCTACTGTTCCCAATTCCTTACCATGTTTAGAGCAGTGGAAGCAGATGCAGTTGTTAGGCATTGTAACATTATTTTGAGGTGAGCAGCTGAAAGCAAAGAGGAGCTGGTACCCGCTGAGTAGCCCTCCAGTGAGTAACAGCCCTCCTCTGCTCAAGAATCACTGCTCTCAGTAAGCTGATGCAATTTGAGCAGGATCTTACAAATTCTATTTAATGCAATTACACTTTTCTTGCAGTAACCAGATGTTATCTTGTACTGAGCTACATCTCAAAAGGAACTGCAGGCTTGGTTCTTTTTCTCCTTGCATTTCCAAATTCAGTATTTCTCAAAAATACAGCACCTTAAATATAAAGGCTATGCCTCCAGCACATGCAAATATGTTTGTTTTTTTTTTAAGTCAATCACTCAAGAAAATAGTATGTAATTTAGTGTTAAAACATACTGCAAATATCTGCTGTGCATTTTTTTTTGTACAGAGTGTGCCTTGTAACCAAAATGATTATGCTTTGGACAATAAAATGTCTTTCTGACAATCTTCCTATGAAAAGAGAAGGATGGAATATTCAAAACATTCTGTCTTACTAAGGGGTGTGATGACAGTAGTGGTTCCCAGCTCTGGACTAGACAAAGATGGATTTGCAGTTCAGGCAGTGCTTAATGTAGTTCTTTAGGTTAATTTTATTTACTGGGTATGTAAACTTTAATTATCACAGAGGTTCTAAAATGCCTTATCCAATAGCTGAATTTCAAAAATGAACATAGATTTGAAATGTGCATGCTGTACTAATGTCACCTGTCAGCCCTGCTGGGCTCTGACGCATCAGATGAGAGTCTGGCTAAAGGAGCTTGCCATCTGAGATACCAGCTCCAGCAGCTATTGGGACAGCTCAACGCTGGAGAAGGGCAGGTTCACATATATACAATGGAACAAGAATATTCTTTGTCAGTTGTAATGGTCCTGAAGTCTCCTAAGAGGATTTTAAGAATTCATTATATTCTAAGTTACCAAATTTTCTCCTGCTATGTGCTTTCAGTCTGGTATTTTCTTTTTCCCTTTGCTTTTTTTGTTTTAATTATAATTATTAACTTTAGTCACCACTGTTTTAGTGATCGTCTAAAATGAAGGCCATCTGCCAAAGGAGGGCACCCAGGACCCCAAGCCAAATCTGAGTACCTCAACCATGAAGCAGAACAGCCCCACTCCTTCCTGCTTACTGCTGTTCTCAGCAGCCTCAGTTTGTGTACTTGGCTGCACGGAAGCACTGCTGCAGTAGCCATAAGGGGAATTGGATCTGTGCACATGCAGGGAGTTCATCTCACCACCTCCTCCTCCCATCCCTTCTCTCCAGGTTATTTGATAGCATGGAGGTTGCTGTTCCCTGGGGAAGTGGGGTGTGTAGGTTTGAACCCTCTCACAGTCTGGGAAATTATCCCAGGTTTCTCATTTCTCAATCAAGCCAGAGCTCAGCTAGGGACAGCTTGTTTCTGAGTTGAACCAACCTTGATGCCATGTCCTGTTTCCATACCGGTTGCTTTAAACTGTTTCTAGTGAGCCACCATCTGCTGCAGCTTCTTTCTCCCGCAGGAACATGCAACGCTCAATGTCTGCTGGCCCCAGGCAGCTGCCTTCCGCTGGTGGCAGTCCCTGTCCCTTCCTCTCCAGGTGTCCTTGCCTGCCCTCACCCTTCCAAATGCCAAATCTTTGCCCTTGCTTCTGTGCCTTCCCTGAAACTAGATGATATTGAAAGGACAGCTCAACAGCAGAGAGTGTCGCAAGCTTGGAGCTGTTGTGTAAAAGCAGGGTGTAACCACTGCCCCTGCATCCATGTTTTGGAACAAAAGACAGCAGCTATAGGCAGCAGGTGTTACACACACACGCACCAAGTGCATCCTATACATTCTTTACTTTCAGGGATTTAGGCAGAATCTGCCCCTCAATGTGGATATGTGGGAATATGTCTGATGTGCAGGCAGCTGCCAGCTGCTCCCCAAGGGCACATCTGCACCCCCGTGCCCACCTGCATAACGGGGGGCCGGAGGTGAGCACTGATGTGAGTGTACACCTCTCCAGTGTTAGATCTCACCTGAAGGCTGCAGTGGCTCTGCTGGTTGTGGGCACTTACTTCCCTACTTCAGGCTTCATTATCTCTGTCTAATAACAACAAATGATCAGATAAGAGCCTCGATGACTTTCAGGTCACAACAGAGTGAATCACTGGTAAACCAGACACTCACCTCATGATTTTCAGTCCAGCAGGCTGCCTTTGAGGTCTCAGCCAGTTTCCACTGATGTCAGCAAAAGATCCCTATCAAAAGCAGAGAAGCCAGTGAATAAGTATGGTTTCAAAAGCAAGCTGCTTGCTGATGCCATGCTTTTATGTTCTTTAGGAATGAGAAAAACAGATTTTCTATCTGTAGTGTTAAATTGGTTGAAAAGCAGTCCATCAAGTATCCATCAAGAGGATAACTTTATCAAGAGGATAACTTTTGGCTTCAAATACAAAGGTGAGAAACTTGCATGGTGTTGCTGTTAAAGAAGAAAATATTGCACCTCATTTGTCTGACAAACAGAATTAAACTAATGCCTCAAGGAAGCTTCACAAAATGCACAATTCCTTTAGGTGCGTTTTTCTGAGATAGCATAGTGCATTACTGTGGGACATGACCCGGGCTGGGCCCAAGTTTGGATCTTGCATGTCCTGGGAAGCAGGCAGTGCAGTGTGGTGCCTGGCTTTGTGAAGTTCAGCCAGTGACCAACGGATACCTTGCACTCAGCTGGTGGCGTTCTGCTGAGTAACGTCAAACATACACGACGCACTGCGTACACCACTTGGGGGACTTCTATCCTCAGTTGATTTGCTCTTGACTTAGCTGCACAGATTTAAGGTGTTTTACATTCTTGTGTCTTTGCATTGTTCCAATACAAGCTGTTTAATCTGAGGCTGGTAACATCAGGAGAGAGCAGGAGTCTGTGCAATGGATGATAAACGTGCTTTAACCAAGGAGACGACTGTCATGCAGCGATGTGATACATTGTTTGGACCTTTTTTGCAGGCAAAGATGAATGAGATGATTGCAGCTCAGCATTTGAAAGACTGGTTGTGTGCAAGTACACAAAAAGGTGTTTTGTCCTTGGAGATGCACTACCCTCACAGCTGGCTTTGGTCTCTTCTAGCCACAGCATAAACAGCACTGGGTTGCAGTTCAGAGATTCTAGAGAGCTAGGACTCAGCTTGTGGGCTGCCACTTGTACACCATGGGCACATCTCAATTGCATTTCATTTTCAATGGGCCCCCTATGTAGCTTTACTTATCCTTTTGTAGACTAACTGCAATGATGTTTTTCAGAGCCATTAGACACTAGGCTCTTGCCAGACATTCCAAAAGTACCAGTTTCTGCTAGGAATGAAAAGACGATTTAAGATGTGAAGTTTATTTTGTCTTTAAATTGAAAGTGGCACCATCAAATCGAGAGACTTTTAGGTAAGACATATACAAGCAAGTGGATTATACTGTGGGCACAAACCGTTGCCAGGCAGGACTCCTAAATAAAAACACTTCTAAAAATGCTCATCTTTTTGACTTCTTTTAAATTTGTTAGAAAACCTCAAAGTAAATTGATCATCCTACTTTTTCCAATGCTCAAATTAGAGAGTGAGCAAGTAGGAGTTGAAGTTCTTCCCAAGTGAAACTTGTTTCATCCTGTAAGGAATTTGTCAGTGATTCACTGATCTTTAACGCCTGAATATTTCACTATCAAAACCCAAGCTGACATACTGCATACCATAACCCATATAACTTCACTCATTGTATTGTGCTGGGTTTTTGCTTCTTTGAAGGGCTTTTGTACTAGTTACTGAGTGGACATAATTTTAAATGGCTGCTTTTTGTTGTTGTTAGTTTGTTTTTATAGGCTGATTACACTGTATTTGGGCCATTTACATAATTTTTGAAGCAAAAGTCTCTCCTGATTTGGGGAATATCTTTTGCTTGAAAATGATTGTACATTTTACTAATGCATGGATTTTATAGCCAAGTCAACAAATTGCTTGAAGTATGGTTTGTGCTGATTAACTTCAATTTACTGTTATTAAGTTCCAGAAGAAAAGCATTAGCTAGGTAGCCCCAAGTAGCCACCTAAGTCCTTTTTGTGTGAAGCAATAAAAGTCACCCTAGTACTACACGGTTGACCTCTCCGTGGTCCCTCAGAGGAGAGTGCTTTTTTTCCAGTCTGTACCCGCTTCTGAAACAGGTCACTTAAGGGCATGGAGCTACATCAGCCCCAGCAAACACACCAGAAATTAGGATTCCCTTCAGGAGTATATCTCAGAGAAATGCTGTTTGAGTGCTCTCTGTGTTCTGTGTAGCAGCTAAGACACACTATGCTTCAGATGTTATTAACCATTCACAGAAAAGAAAAAGGAGTAATAATGCAGACACCTTTCTTTAACTGCTCTGTCACAGGCTATTATTTAACTGCTCTGAGGTCTGATTGTTGTTTTACCCCCTTTAGCAAGTTGTTGTATAAGTTGTTTGGAAAAAAAAGAGGTTATCTGTTGCTTACATAAAGCATTCTCTTCTTTATTTTATAGCTAAAAGCTGCTCAAGAGAAAGTGCTTTCCTAAAAAGAGCAAATATATCAAGTGTGGCCTATTCAAAATCAGTGCCTTACATAAATTGGGATCCTACTCTGCCAACACTCAAGGCTAACTATCTACTATGAACACCAGTTACTGTCATATATGAAACGTATGGAATGTTCAATAATGAGATCAATCACCACCTTTGAATAAGAAAAAAATATAATAAATGATGTTTAAAATCTGAGTTAATGAATTGGTGGTGCACTACATTTATGAGAACTTTGTAAGTGCCAGAAAATGTGACATTGAGCAAGGAAGAAAAATACACAGGTTATGAAGGTACTAAGAAAGCATGACAGGCAGAAATATCGCTAACGGATTGATCTATTTTCTGGCCTAGACATATTATTAAGTACAAAAAAATTTGCATTCATTCAATTACAAGTACTGCTATCGTTACACTAAAAATATGAAATAAAATGCAAATAAGACATTAGCTCTGTTTCTAGTGAGTCCCTTCAAAAAAAAAAAAAAAAAAAAAAAAAAAGAGTATATTGCATGCTGTATATTGC